CCCCCCCCCTTGCCTTTCCCGCCCTTTCTTTCTCCTTTCCTGTGCTCGACATCAACCAACTGCTTGTAAAGTTATGGCGGCTCTCCTTTTCGATGTTGCTTAGAAGCTAGGTGGAGGTTACAATGGGTTCCCTACATATATCTGCACTAATTTACTACTGGAACGAATGAACGAATCGAGGAAGGACTGGTAGTTTTACCGACCCAGCCGAGCGACCAAAGTATTGCATGGTAACAATGCTACTTCCTACTGCACCATTCCCGTCAGTAAGTAGAGCTAAAATCAAAGGTAATCAGAAATTACAGGAACAGTACAAAGACCAAAGCTTTTCTTGTAAACTAGAGCCAATCAAAAAAAGGGAACAAAAAAAAACAATCTTTCTACCGTTTCAAGAGCAATAACTGCAACAACGTACTTCGCTATGCCTACGTTCAGCCATATCCCTGAGGTAGCAAAAGGCCATTCGATACGATTCATTCCGCCTCTCGACGTTTCTCTTCAGCTCCTCATCATCATCCGGTGCGCAGTCAAGCATTTTTGCACGTTTTGGCACACAAATTGTTAGGTCGGTCGTTGCGTGCCCCAAGAAATATGCGATCTGTAACATTTCTAATTCAAGCTGACAGGACAAATTTTTGCTGAAAGTTAACTCATTTTTCTTAGAGGAAACCCTATTTTGATGCTGCCGCAAGTTTGGGCTAAGCACGAGGCAATCGAATTGGCTTCGATCTAAGGGATGAAACAGAAACAGCAAGAGAATGAAATACAGAGCGCTTCCTCACACGTACAACTACAACCTTTTGTTGAATCCATCTTCGCTGAACTTATACTTTGTCCCACTTACTCTTTCACAGGAAAAACAGTAAACAATACCTCAACCATGCCAGAGAGCATCGTTTCACATGATGGTATATGATAAAGTATGTGTCGCGTCATACGCAATGTACTCAATCGCCTGTGCCTTTCCACCATTAGCTCCGAGCAAAACGATAATCCTTTTCTACTGCAATTTTCACAACTCATTACAATTCAGATTAAAATTAAAATGAAACAGTGCCCAACTCTGTGCGCCATTTACTGTGGATATTAACTAGAGGTATGCAGCGCAAAACCGAAGAGAACAGTTGTGCACGGAGTGTTAATGAAAAAGCAAGAGCAAAAAAGAAAAAAAAAAAACCCCCAATAAGGAATGCACAAAGAACGAATGTGGGGAACCGATGTCAGCTTGAAATGCTCCCACATGTCGAGAACAACAAGGCCGGGCCCTCCGATCCTGAGTTGCATGCCTCTGGTCAGTTCCTTCTGCCTGTTCGCCGTATATATGACACTTCCTCAACGATCGCTCAGGTGGTCGTCTACTTTTTTGTGGGCGCTAATCATTTTCCCTCATTCAAAAACGACTGGAAGAATAGTTACTGTAATTGTGGAGCGGCAAGATGGTTGATCCAAGCTAAGTCAATGCGACTCCTCGAACTGCAGCCAAGAAATACATCATATCCATTGGCATTCATCCATCGTAACGGATTTGCGACGCTGCTGCTAGTGCTGCTATTACTGTCGTATGACCGCTTTTTCAATACTGCAAAATTTCAATCAATAATTATTCAAGTACCTTCTGATTCGATTAATTATTTAATTTAATATCGACATGCAGGAAATGTAACTCTAGAGAAAAAAGAAACGACCTGACGGAGAGACATACTGCTTAGTACAATAAGCACATAAAGATACTCAAACTGGAACTTAATAGTTTCAATCCGGTCTTAAGAAATACATTCCTTATAGAATTAGCACGATTCTTAATACGCAGATGTCTTTATGGGTTCAAGCCTCGGCTGCAATTTGGAAAATCAATCAAGGACCAGGAAGAACAGCTCAGTAGTTTCAACTAATTCGATTGGGATATATAAATATGAG